AGTCCTAAGCAGAACTTCTGTACCAGCCGCAGTCGGGTAGACTGTAAGTCTTCCCTCTTTTCTGAATTCTTCAGAAAAGCATGTAATCTTTCCTTTTCTTCTCCATACCCCTTGTCTAAGCACGCTTTCCCTAAGGCTTGGGCTGCCCCAACCCTCTGGGTTTCTTTACTTTTTCTCTAAAGCTTCCTTCTCCCCGCCTTGTGGCTGCTAGTCCACCACGTGTCTGACCCCCATGTGGGCTCTAAACCTGCATGGCTTCATGGCTTGCTTTCCTTCTCCCCTCTGTTCTCCTGAAGGCAGCTGCCAAGATTGCCCACCCCCGAGGATTTTTCTTTAAAATTCTAATGAAATTGGAAAAGCTTAAATCTTGTGCCAAGGACTTTACCTTTTGGACTTAACTTTTAAATGCTCCCTGTTCTCCACCCAGTTAGGGCGGCACTCCCTAAATTGGCTCAAAGTACTGTCCCTCGTAAATAGATTCAGCTGATTCAGAACTTTTTGAGTCTGAGTGATCCTCTATCATCCCAGGGCTGGGAAAGTCCAGACATGATCCCTACCTAGGGTTTGCTGGCCAGCCAGTCTAGCTTAATGGCCAAGCTCTAGGTTCAGTGAGAAAACTTGCCTCAAAAAATAAGGTGGAAGGGGCTGGAGAAAGGCAGGCTCAGTGGTTAAGAACACTAGCTGCTTTGGCAGAGGACCCTGGGCAGTGGCTGACAACCCTCAGTAACTCTACCTTCTTCTGGCCCCTGGGGGCAATGTACGCATGTGATGCACGTACATGTTGGCAAAACACTCTGATTGAGGAAGCCACCCAACACTGACTTCCAGCCAGTGGGAGGTAGAGACAGTAGGCTCAGGAATTCATAGGCCAGCCTCAGCTACCTGAGACCCTATCTTGATTAAAAACCCCAACCAAACAAAAAAAATAGCAGCTGAAAACCGTGCCCCAGTACATTCAACACTTGATATGCTGCTTCTGATTTGACAATGATACAATGTTATGTGGCAGAAAAATAGAAAAAGCTAACTCTACCTTCCAAGGGTTCAGATTTTGTTGTAGGTTATATCTGCCCCTAGCTTGGCTCATACAACTAATATACCCATCTGGTTTTTTATGTGGAATATGAACATGTTTGGACCTACTGAGCCAACTCTGAAGCCCCAGAAAAATTCTCTAGAGAGCCGAGAGCCCAGTTTCCAGGAAATATGTCTGTATTTTGGACATTCTTTATGTTAGGCATTATCATGTAAGTTTTTTAAAATTATTTATTTATTGTTTGTGTGTATATGTATGTATGTATGGGAGGGCATGGATGCACGTGTGTGGAAGTCAGAGGGCAAATTGAGATTCAGTTTTCCCCTTCCGTCATGTGGGACCCAGAGATGAACTCTGGTCCTTAGGTTTGGTAGCAGGCTGGAAGAAGTTTGCATACAGGTAATACAATCTTCATGGAGCTTTGTAAAGGAAGCATGTGTGCCAGTTAGCTTTCAGTTGCTGTGATAAAACACTCTGACCAAAAGCAGTTTGGGAGGAAAGGGTTTATTGCATCATACTCTTCCAAGTAGCAGTCCATCACTAAGAAGCCTGGCAGGAACTTAAGCAGGGCAGGAACCTAGAGGCAGGAGCTGAAGCAGAGACCACAGAGGAAACCTGGGTCTTCTGCAAAAACAGTGGGATTTTTTTTTTTCTTTTGAGTCAGGGTCTCCCTGTAACCCCAGCTGTCCTGGAACTCACTATGTAGACCAGGCTGGCCTTGAACTCACAGAGATCCGCCTGCCTCTGCCTCTGCCTCCCAAGTGCTGGAACTAAAGGTGTATGCCACCATGCCTGGCTACAACTAGTGTTCTTAACCGCTGAGCCATCTCTCCAGCCCCAAAGTAACGGCCTTATAATGGGACTTGGTTTTTGCTTTAATATTTATGTATAAGTATGTGAATGTGTACATTTTGATTCAGGTTTAGGTTTTTGAGGATTGTTGGTTGATATGAGTATCGAAAAACAAACATTACACCCAAAACAAATTGTCCCTGAATCTCTTCCCTTCTATCACTGATAAAGTTGAGTGGCAATACTAATAGTAAAGCAATAGTAAAAACAGGGAAACACACAGCAGTTACTGTGCGACCAGCCCTGTAGCACTAACTCAATCCTGTCAAGTAAATACTTTAGGACATTTTGTTTAGAGAGTCTCACACTGTGGCCCAGGCTAGTCTCAAACTCCCAGAAAGCCTTCTGCCTCAGCCTGTGCTGATTAGTGGTGAGCCACCATACTCAATTTTTTTGTTGTTGGGTTTTTTGTGGGGTTGGGGGTGTTTCAATAGTCTCACTATGTAGTCCAGGCGCTCCTTAAACTCAGGCCGGACTTGAACTTATGAAGATCCTTCTGACTAGCTTATTCAGTGTGGAGATTTATAAGCATGTGCCACCATGCCCAGTTGAAGTAGGTTCTATTTATCATTTCTTTTTCTTTTTTCTTTTCTTTTTTTTTTTTGTCTTTTTGACACGGGGACTCCCTGTAGCCCCAGTTGGCCTGGAACTCACTATGTAGACCAGGCTGGCCTTGAACTCACAGAGATCTGCCTGCCTCTGCCTCCAAGTGCTTGGATTAAAGGCATGCACCACCACACCCAGCTTCATTCCTATTTTTTTATTTAATTTTAGGTTTATGAATGCTTTGCCTGCATGTAAGTGCACCACATATATGCAATCTCTCAAGGAGGCTAGACGAGGGCATTGATCCCTTAGAACTAGAGCTATAGTTGTTAGCCACCAATTGGGTGCTAGGATCAGACCCAGGTCCTCTGCAAGAGCAGCCAGTGAGTGCTCTTAAGTGCTGAGCCATCTCTCCAGCCCCCATATATTTTGAGACAGGGTCTCATGTAGCTCAGACCAGGCTATGTAGCTGAGGATGACCTTAAACATCTACTCTTCCTCTTACCTCCATTTCCTAAATCCTGGGACTACAGGTGTGCCCCACCATACCCTGTTTATGTAGTACTAGAGATTCTGCCCAGGGCCTCCTGCATGCTAGGCAAGGACTCTGTCAACTGAGCTACATGCCTAATCCTATAATTTGCAAAATAAGGGTATCAGGCTGGTCAGAATAATTGCCTAACATATAAGAGGTGGTCTGTGTTTGATCCCCAGCACCACACACACAAAAAAGTGAAAAAAACTGGAAAGAAAATGAGATGTGAGACAGAAGGCAGCAGAGCCAGTATTCCACAGTTGTTATTTCAGTCACTAAAAAGCCATGGGACAACTTGGTAACTAGTTAAGAGAATCACCTTGAGTTTGAAGCCAGCCTCGATTGAAAATAAAAAATAAAAAAGCCAGGTGTGGCAGCACATGCCTTTAATCCCAGCACTCAGGAGGCAGAAGCAGACCCTGTTCCAAAAAGACAAAGCAAAACAACAAAAACCAGAAGGCTAGAGAGATGGCTGAGAGGTTAAGAGCACTGGCTGCTCTTGTCGAGAACCCAGATTCGGTTCCCATCACCCACATGGTGGCTAACAACCATAACTCAAGTTCCAGGGGAATCCAACACCTTCTTCTGGCCTCCATAGGCATTACTTGACACAGGTGCACTTACATACATAGGCAAAACACTCAAGAGACATAATTTGGAAAATTAAAACAAAAACAAAACCCAGAGTTGGGTTCAATGAAAAATACTGCATAAATTGGACACAGCAAGACATGCTTGAAATCCTAGCATTCAGGAGGTAGAGGCAGGAAAATCAGGAACTCCCTCATCTTTGACTACAGAGTGATTTCAAAGCCTACCTGGGATATGTTTTTCAAACGCCTAATTCTACGTGACCTACACCTTTCTTATTTGGGAGCCTGAAGCAGGTCTACCCACAAGGACATGGTCCCTGGAGACAGTGAACTTGTGGAAGAAGTCAGCCAAGACTCAGCCTTGCAGATCTCATCAAGTAGAATAGCTGGGGGATGGCAGCTGCCATGGAAGCCCTAAGCATTTCTAGAGGAAAGATGTCCTGAAGAAAGGATCACTGTTCCTGGTGAATCTACAGATTCAGTCACAGAAATATGACTGAAGTGAGTGAGTGACAGAAAAAACAGCTCATTACACAAATGAGAAAGTCAATTTTTTTAAATAGTTTTATTTGGGAAAAGTGCTTCTTACAAAAGGGCAGCTGCAAAATCCAGGTCTCTGCAACAATGACCCACCTCTTCTTAAGTGAAAGAGTGGGCTCCAGAGGCAGATGGACAAATCTGGAGCATCTCCCAAGTTATTTTTAGGAAACAGAGCAACAAAATGCAAAGGTGAAATTTCCCATCAAGGAATTCTAGCAACTTAACTTTTGCTTGTCTTGTGGATGACCACGCCCTCCCTTTTAGTGGGAAGTGATTACTGCAAACCAATTCCTCCACTACAATGAACATCTCAGAAGAGTTTTGTTTTAACTCCATTTGTCTACCTGCAAACCTCAGGGATGGAATGAGGCAGATACCCACAAAAGGAAACACAAAATCTTACAACAGAACCCCTCAAACGAGGATAAAAGTTTTTCCAAAGTGCGTGGACTGAGAAGCTAGCCCATATAACAGTAAATACAACTGTGCATCCAAGACTCAGCTTGTGTTGATAATTGGGATTAGCAGGTCATTCAACCTCTATAGCTGATCCCGTTTCTCTAGTACACAGACAGACCCAGCTACTAGCACTGCTATATTAACTACTGATACACTGCTTGGTCCTGTAAGATCTACCTGCCACACCAGGCTGAAACCACTAAGGCTAAGCATACTAGAATACTGCATCTACGCACAGATGGGAAGCTGCTCACATGCTCGCACTCACCGAAGTCCACTGGCCCTTGGAAATTCACTGCCAACCCTGCACTGATGGGACACCACTGCATTTTTCATGTGTTTTAAGATGTTCTTATGTTAACCTCAACACACCTGCAGCTGGTTCTGGTTACCCAGTAGTATTCCTCAAGCACAATTAAACAAGAGCCCAAAACCACAAGACAAGTACATGTGGTGGGGATTACAGGATAGGGAGAAGATCTAAAACCAGAGCTGCAGATCTCCCCGACCTCGAGGGGCCACCATCTACATCTAGTGCAGAGGGTGGACTTGCCTACTTAGGTCACTTTTCCCATTGCCCCTATCTATGGACCCCAAAGCATAAGCAGTGCTTTTTTACCTTTGAACCTGGGGTCCTCAAAACGAGTGTGCAAAGTCCACAAAACACAACCTGGCTGAAAACAGATGACGCAACAATCCTACACTGTCTGACAGTTAAATTCATGTTACAAAAAAACTAACTTTAAGATTTATTTTTGTAACTTTTTGAAACAGAGAAAACACACTCTTGGGGAAAGGTGAGGGGGTGGAGGAGCAGGCCCTGGGTAAGTGATCACGACAGCACCTGGAGTTGAGAGGCCTGCCTAGAAGAGCCACACGCACTGCCACACGGCACAGGGGACAGCTACTGTCTGAGGCTCCGCAGACCAGTTCACACGCCACACAAAGCTGCTATAGGTCCAAGTCATAAAAGTCTTCCAGCTCATCGTGAAACAAGTCCCACTCGTCCTCAGAGTCTGTCAGCTCGTCGTCCCCACCTGCAGCCAAAAGCATAAGCAACATCTCGCCCAGCTCAAAGGTGACAACCTCCTCTTCGTCGTGGTCAAAGGGGTTGCTGCTCTCTCTTTCCTCAATGAGCTCCCAGAAGTGGTTCCTTCGTTGGGCCTGTAAAAAACAAGGCCATGATAGGGGTGGCACTGTCGAGGAGTGTCTTCTATCCTGTTTTTTATAAGGCAAACCGTGTGGCCCAGCAGAGGGCATGAACAACCAGACTTCTCACTTAGGCCTACCCTGCCAATGCCTCCCCTCTGGTTACCTGAGGCCAAATGCTTAGGCTAGGGCTTCCTGTGTTCTTCCTTCCTTTCCTGTCCCTCCCAGTTTTCCAAGGCTTGATTTCTCCTTCACTCTAATTTCACTGAGACCTGAGCGTTAATCTTCTTCCCCTACCCCAGTATGTGCAGGACTCAATTTAGAGTGTGGCACTTCCCCTCCTTTAAAAAAAGTGAGAGTTACCCGGTATCTGCTTGATGTTCCCACTTTCTGTCTCTGTGGCTCCTCTCTACGGCCATCAGGGTACGCATGCTTGTAAAAACAGTTCCCTCCAAATGGGCAGCTCCCACGTCCTTCATCAAAATACCTGCACGCCTTGTTGCTGGAAAGGAAAATATCGCAACCCTTATTCACAGTGGATTTAAGGCCTGTATGTGTCTATAATCCTGGGTTTTCTTTAAATAGGGGTAGAAGCATTATGTCTGTGCACAGCCCCCAAGTGTGTTCTATAAACATGTGCTAATGCATCAAACGCTGACTAGAAACACATCTGTTTAAGCCTATGCTGTGTATCAGCAGCACTAGTACCATCCAGTACAGGGATGAACTTTTTGGAAAGGCAACACACAAGAATTAACATAGGACAAGTACAACACAGACTTCACAGACTTAGTATGAGGTAGACTCCCTCCACAGGCTTCAGCTACCAGCAGTAGACTTCACTGTAACACAGTCCCTTGGCAGAAACCCAAGAACTGCGCTACACCAAGAGAGGCAAACTATGAGGGCAACAAAATGAACTGTCCTAGGAGGTAAAAGAAAGGGTAGGAAGGAGGTAGGAGTGCGTAAGGCAGCACTGTTCTTTCCAACGTGTTCTTTTTGGGCTGCAGCGCTCATACCTCATTGCCTCCTTGTATTTCTGAATGAGTTTCTGCTTCTCTTCTTTCTCCTCCACCCAGTACTCACTTGGAATGACAAAGTTAGATGTGATCCGGCATTCGGGGCAGGACCTGGGAAACAATGAACAGGCTGCAGTGCACATTCCCTGCTTTGTGCCCACTCTAAGACACACCCTGGTGTGTCGCCTCCAGACTTAAAGAGTTAACTGACAGGCACATGGACATTTCCTGAGAGGGGCTCCACACAGTCACAACTGACTCTTAACTGGAGGCAAGACAATCAATCTCCTTCATAAATCCAGCTCAATGGCTAGCTAGCCAGTCCAATCAAAAAAAAAAAAAAAAAAAAAAAAAACTTTCCGTTTAAAAAATAAACAAAAACAAAAGACATTTCACACAGACTCCTTTCATTTAAATAAATTTATTTCTTTTAACTTTGCTCTGTTTAGATTATGTGGTTTTTGTTCAGTTTATGAAAACAATCTTTAAAGGATGGTGGATTATTGGCTAGCTTAATGGATGGAATAGGAAAAGTGGAAAATGTATAAGGTCAGGAAACATACATTCAGAGCTAGATAAGTTTGTTCACAGAGCCTAAACTGTCTAAACCATTAAACAATCTCCTCAGAAAAAGCATGAAGACTCTGATACATAGGGTTTCCTAATTCAAATGAAATACACCAACTAACCTAACAGCTAGCCGAAATACAAAGAAGAAATACCAACTAGAACACCCCAGGTTCAGGATAAAATGCATGCATTTAGATGCGGTCCTTCTGGTTGGATGTTGGCACAAGATACTAAATTCTTCCCCAAAATAGAAAGCACAAACGAAGATTGGGGAGGAATCTCACTTTATGATCTTGCTCTCAAATTGCTTAGCACTCCTCCACTTGCGAATACACTTGAGACAGTAGGTGTGGTTGCAGTTGGAGAGAATCCCGAAACGGCGCTCACTGGGGTTGGCTTTCTCATAGACCACTTCCATGCAGATCCCGCACACCATGTCCTTACTGCGCTGCACGGCAAAAGAGAGCTCCATGTCCTTCTCATGGGCCTCAATACAAGACTGGAAGAGAGGAGACAAGGTCACACAGCAGTCTAAGAGACTTCAGCTCCATGGTTCAAGACTTAGTGATAAACCATCTACTGAAAAGACCGTGTTCCCATGGAAAGCTTTGTTAATAAGTAAACATGGGTGCACTGTGGCACCTCACAACACTACAAATGAACTTAACAACTTGCAAACTTTTCCAATTTTCTGTACCCTAGTCCTGCAGAGCACTGCCCTTGCAGGTCAATACATCAAGGATCCTACCAGCTTCACTGATTTTTCTGGTTTCTGAATAGAAAAATGAGGACTAAGGCCCTCATTTAAAACCTATCAAGATACTGAGCATGGTGGCACACAACAGCATTGGGAGGTGGAGGCAAGATCCAGAACTTTAGGCCACCCATGAGACATTTAAGACCTTGTCTCAAAAAGGAAAAAAATAAAAAGATAAACAGTAAAATAAAACCTGGCAGAAAACAAGAAAAAAATTTGAACACTTACTAGGTGACAATTATATCAAGCACGTTATTTCCATATTCCTTTAAAAAAGGGAAGCAGGGGGACAATAATTAATCCTGGCATTTAGTAGGCAGAGACAGGAAGAAATGAGCCCCAAATTTGAGGCAAGCCTGGTCTACACAGTGAGCTCCAGATCACCAGGGCTACATCAAGAGACCCTGTGTCTTAAAACAAAAAAAAAAGCTCCCCCAAAAACCACTGAAGAAAAATTTACTGAAATAATTCACCTATCACACAAGATATTTTAACATATTTTAATTACATGTATGTCTGTCTAAAGTGCAGGTGCCCTACCTAAGAGGCTGAGCTGGATCCCCTTGGAGCTGGAGCACCAGACGTGGCCCTCTGTAAAACAGTTCCCACTTGTAATGTATCTCTCCAGCCCCACAGTTGGACTAATAGCAGAATATGTTCATGACCTTAACAGAAATCTCATATTCATCAACAGCTATTTATTATCCCTCAAAATCCCCATGTAGGCAACCATTATTATGTGGTCACCAGGTCTGTGGCTTTAAGACTAGGCTTGATGGATTATTCTACATTAACCATTTATTTTTATTACTGAGCAACATTCTGTGTGAGCACCTATTTTCCTTAACCATCTCTATTCTGGGGCTGCATAAATAATGCTGCTCTAAAAGGGTCAGGGATATAGGGCTTAGTGGTAAAATCCTTGCCTTGTGTGCGCTACTCACTGGCTTGAACTCCAACATGGCAAGGAAAAAAGGCTATAACCACCTGAGTATGGGTGTTCATGTAGACAACACATACTATGTTTTGTTTTGGGTATTTTTGTCTTTTTGAGACAGGGTCTCCCTGTAGCCCCAGCTGGCCTGGAACTCACTATGCAGACCTCAAACTCAGAGAGGGCACTTAAAACTTAAGTGCAAGCCAGGTGTGGTGGCGCAAACCTTTAATCCCAGCACTCAGGAGACAGAGGCAGGCGGATCTCTGTGAGTTCAGCCTGGTTTACATAGTGAGTTCCAGGACAGCTGGGGATACAGGGAGACCCTGTCTCAAAAAATACCACACAC